GGGGCTTAAGTGTAGAGAAAATGTTTTGAGAATGATGAGGACAATGAATGTACAAATGTGCTTTACACAATTGATATATGTATGGCTTGTGGTAAGAGTTGTATGAGCCCCCAATAAAATGATTTTTTAAAAAGTGGTCCCATAATGAAAGCCATTCATTGTCATGAGGAAACAACAACTAAGGTAGAAGACAGCTGATATAAAATAAGTAAGGACTTCACAATATTTGTAGAAAATGGAAGTAAAAGAAAATGAAAATTTCCCCGCAAGCTTTGGAATCAGACAAATCTAGATTTGTGTTGGTGGTAGCTAGGTAGTAGCTATGCAATTGTTTCAATCCTCAGTTTTTCATCTGTCTCACCAGCTCTTCCCATCTGGATAGTACAGCCATTGTAAAGTACACCACTCCTCACTTATTGTCATGGTTGGCTTCTAAAGACCAAGTCATTATTCAGAATTGTTTTATGCAAAATGGATGATGATTACAATAAATTAAAAAATGCAGTATGACTATATCATTATGTAACTGCCAACTTACATCGGTGCATTACTATCAACCCCCTGAGGACCATGGCCCGGGCAGGTTGACATATTACCATATCCTCCCTTTACACCGTGTTACTGCTAGTCATGTATTGGAAATGTTCAAAATTGTCAGATAGTTACATATATATATATAAAACTATTGCTACAAAGACAAAATATCAGAGAACAACATAGTCAATAAGTAAGGAGTAGGTGTACTTCAGTTAACAAAGTCTTCTATTATGTTTGATTTGATCTTACTTGCACTTTGCACAGCCAATGATGGTGGTGGGGCCATTCCCTATCAGTAATGGCAGATTTGGTTTGGGCTCAGAAAAGTTGAGCAAGAGTAAAAAATTCATAGCCAAAGCAGAGTCCTTCTTTTTTCCTAGGATTGCTTGTGCTCCATGGGAGAAAAGAGTTTTGCAGGTTTATCTCTCATACTCCCAACACCTAGACCAGTACCTGCTATACAGAGAATGCTCAAACCTCTTGAACCGTGAGTTATACTAGTGGTCCCTGGAAGACACATAATGAGATCTACTGTAAGACCCTGCTATGTTCTGGCATCTCAGTTTAATTCCTCTTCCTTTCAGCTTGTTCTTTGTGACCACTTTAACAGCACTAAAGTTTGCATAATAATAAATTGGTGCTTAACTATATTAGACATTTTAAAATGTAGACTCACTTTGTCTGGCATGCCCCTACTCAATACTTGCCCTCACAAAGAGAACACTGAAGATATGAGTGTAATAGCTAAGTGTGGTGAAGAAATCAGATGGTGCCTGGCAAATAGAAAGAACAGTGTTTGGGGTCTTAAAGGCTTGTCTTAAAATAAGCAACCACTGAAGACAAACGTGTGCATAAGCATATGTGGTGAAGAGAGCTAATGGTGCCCAGCTATCAAAAGATATAGCGTCTGGAGTCTTAAAGGCTTGAAGACATACAAGTGGCCATCCAGCTGAGAAGCATCAAAGCCCACATGGAAGATTAAGGGGGAACGGACCTAGGTGCAAATAATTATAGGTTTGGTAGTAGGGTGGCAGGTGGACATTGGGCCTCCTC